AAGCAAGAATAAATCTTGCTTGACCTTTGTTTATGCCCCGTCAGGAACACATTCTGAGTACCACTGGCTGGTGTGTCCCTAATCTATATATTGTCTCAAATTGTCTGGTACCTTGAACAGGCCTGTAAACACCCATGAGCTGCAAAATATGTCAAGTAATTGCCATAAAGCCTGCCAGCGCCTGACATGTCTTGGGGCTGAGCTGTGGGTATGTATGTGTGGCTGTGGGGTTATTTCCTGACTGAAACTATTTTGGCCCAGTTACAGTTGTGTAGATTCTGCAGTAGGATCCAGAACTGAGCCTCATGTGTACTGGCCCACATGAACAAATACCAAAAAAACATCCTGTATTTAACATTAAAGGGATTTTTTAAAGAGCATTTAATCTCAGATATTAACACTGCATTACAAGCTTTAAATATCTGTGTATTTTAAAAAGCAATGCTGTTGTGCTGATTTAGAAATGTCTGTAGAACGTGTTGCTTCTGACTGATGATCACATGCAGCCTTATATTTCTACCTGGATGCCAGCGTAATGTCTTAATCACTTATAAATACCACTGCGTGGTAGCAATAATAGTTACATAAATGTGGTATGTACGTAACTATTTCGCTGAGCCAATGTATTTCAGGGAAGCTGGGGTAATTAATTAGATAATGTATGCACTCACAGCACTGTGAGTGCATCGTGTGATTTTCTTGCACAGTGACTTGTAATGATCCCAAGCTGTAGTTATTGCCAAGAAATACATGGACGGCTGTCTCACTGTTTATGTGAGTGGCATGGTTCTCTCTTAACCATTTGCCAAGCCATGGAGATACAGTTTTTGCTCCCCTAGCCTCCAGGTCATTTTTACCTGAAGACCTTGGTGCTCCCTATGGCAGGAAGGATGGTCATGCTGTACTCAGCCTAAATCACATTGCATGTACTGGAAAACACTGAATGAAGAGTGATGCGGGACTGGTTTTCTCCCCTCTGAGTAAAATACAATCCTGTGCATGTTCGGATACTTTTTTGTAATGGTGTTCTGGTTTTTGGCAAGCTGTGCACATTAAAACTGATTGGAATCAGCTCACAGGTCTCAAGGATTCCAAGGATTTGGCAGGTTTTCAATGTCTGCAGTTGCTAACTGTATATTATACATATAACATACCAGAATATATAACTATATATTCTGATTTTAGCATCCTTATGAAAAGGAAGTGGCTAAATTTGGGATGTGCATTAGGCTTTCCTGTCCTTAACTTCCATTTGTACACAGAAGTATGATGACTGCTGGAGAGAGTTCCCAGTTTTGGGAAGGGTTCAAACAACGCAAGTGTTTTCAGTTGGCCATCTAGTGAAGGTGGAGAAAGTTTTTTGTCTGTTGCCCTAGTACAGCCTAGTTTTGATACTGATGTCTGCAAAACCTGATGACCAGTCTATGGCAAGCACCAAGATGGTTAACCGCATTGAATGCATCTGGGAGTACAAGATGCACCCTAGATCCTTGAATTTGTAGTATGCTATCATACAAAAATTGAGAGTTACTTTATGCAGAAGAGACTGAGTACTGGTAAAGAAACTGAGTGAAGTCAAAGAAGAACCTTCAAAGCTATCAATATTCAAGCAATTATTACCTCATTACTTTAAGTTAGAGGCAACAAACTATCTGAATGCTATTTTTTTCCCTCTAGGCCTTTCCTAGCCTTTAAAGTAGGAAGGGAACCACTGGAGACGTGGAGATTCTGGCAACTGCAGAAATAGCCTGCAAAGAATAAATAACTTGTTCCAGAACAAACAGAGAAGTGGACACTTCATGTAAGCTTTTGGAAAAAGAAACCTGCCATAAGACATTTGCAACTGCATACATTTCTCACTAGGGTGACTGAAAGTATAGAGGAGGTATCCTGCTGTATGCAGTCTTTGACAACAACATGAAGTGGATAGTGTCTATTAGTCTTCAAATACAGCTTCTTGCTGTATTTCTGTAGCTTTGTAACTGGTGCCTTGTGTTAACTGATGTATTTTCAGTCCTGAATATATTTTCTCTATTTTTAAACATTGCCCAATCCAAGAAACTGCAGAGAAGATAAGTTCCTTTCAGTGCAGCTACAGAAAGATTTTGAAATGCTGATCTCTGTCATAGTTCTTAATACTGGAGTTTATATACAGATATGATCTTAAAACAGCTCCAGAAGGGAATCTATCCTAATAATTAGATTATGATTTTGGGTGTTTCCTTAAGCTCCTATAGATGAAAAGAAAGAAAAAAGAAATTTGAGAAATTCAAGCCTGCTGTTCCACCAGTGATGGGCAAGATTGGGAAATCAGGGAATTTAGTCTGAAAAGATGACTAGAATTCTGCTGTGAGCCAATTAGAAGCTCATGTGGAAAGAGGAAAACCTATTGTAAACAACAGTCTGTTTTCCAAGTTAATTAATATTATTAAATCTATTACTGGACAACAGATAGCAGGCAAAATTATTAAATCTGGTCTAAGACCACTGTTTCCAAAACAGAAAGATACTAGAAAATTATGATTAAATCTGAGATTCCAACTCCTAAATGAACGGTTTCAGCTGCATTTAACACTTCTTTTATCTATATATGACTTGAATTTTTGCTGCCACAGCAGCACACTATTTCTTTGTAACAGAGTGTGTTCGACTTAGCTAGTCCATCTAAGTGGATTTCCATCAATACTGCATCCTCTACAGACATTATGGGAAGTTACTGGAATGTGCTGATGCACACATGGCAATGAAGTAATTCTGCTTAGGAGCTGGTTATTTCCCAGTTGTTCACCACTTGTTTCTTGGGTCACATCTATTGTGTGTTATCCAACCAAGAGCACATGTCATTCAGAGACAGGATGAGCCATGTGGGTTTGTAGTGGAGCACAAAAGGACTTCTTCCTTCTGAGCGAGAGAATTGCTGAGATGATATATTATTTTTAACTGGCTTCTTTTGAAGTATCTGTTGTTCCTCAGATAGGCCACTTCAACTGAAGTGAAAGCTTCATCTTGTAAAGCCCTACTCAAGGATCAGAATGATTACTGACTAGACTTCTGGTAATCCACAAGCTGGTGTTAACTAGCAGCTGCCTTTTATGAGTGCAGTAAATAGAAAAGACATAAACTGTCTTCCTTCCCAGTGATGAAATTTGGATGATATACTGAAACTGCAGCTTTATTTCACTGTTTGTCCCCAAACTGAGGTGTGGATAAGATATACAAATGTCAAAGCTCAAATAAAGGTGTGCAACTCTTTTGTTTCTACAGAAATAACTTTTCATCTTTATGTTATTTCTATGTTGATAACATTAGCACAGCAATGCAAGTATGCTCTGCAGGACTCCTATTGGTATGTGTGTTGGGCTAACAGAAAGGGGTTTTATGTGTATGCACAGGTACAGATTTTCAGAGCCAGATTTTCCTTTCCCATCTGAAATCCCATATCACAGAGAGTTGTATGGGCTGCAGTCTTACTGCAACAGGACAGCTCATGTCTTTCTCATGCATCGTGGGAGAGCTAGTCATTATGGTAATTAATATCAAGAAGTAGCATGCCAACATGAAGAGTACTGAACACATCCTCAGCTGACTGTATATACTTGGTGCGTGTCTGGTTTTAAAGTTGTAACCTCTACAGACATTACCTAGCCTATATTTCCTGTGTGTGAGAGTGTATGGTTGGGTGTACACACCATGATGGACTGCAGAAGGAACCTGTTTTTTACAGGGATTGATTTAGCTAGCTCAAAAATACAAACATGGAAGGATATGTTCCAGTTTGAATATGCACAGTATTTTAGAAGAAAATCAAACTAGCAGCTAATCTATTAAAACACACACTCTGAGATTAAGGTATTTATACTTTTGGGGCTGTTATTCCAGAATAGAGAGCAGTTGGTGTTTTGATATTCTAATGTGTTAGCTGCATCTTAAATAAACCTGTGTTAAAGAAATAAGTGCTAAATATTTAGCACTCATGGTCAAATTCACCAACTTTTGACATAAAGCTGAGTACAAGAACAATCTGGACTTGACTTTTGGATGTTGTATAATCCAGCCCCCCTCAAAACACACACAGGTAGTTCAGGTTGGTGAGGTCCAGTACAGTTTTGAGTATCTTCAAGGATGCAGATTCCAAAACTTCTCCTGGCACCTTTTCTAGTGTTTCTGAAAGTTTGGGATTTGTTTTTGTTTTTGTTTTTTCCCTTTTTTCCCCTACTATGTAGCTGGCTTTTTTCCCTTGTTTTCACTTGGGTCTGTTGCCTCTTGTGCTGTCGCTGTACATCTCCATGAAGGGTCTTCCCTTGCATTGCACAATTGGTGCAACAAGATCTCCCTTAAGCTTCCTGTTTTCCAGGCTGAACGTTCCCAGCTGTCTCAGCCTCTCCTCGTACATCAAGTGCTTCAGCACCTCTGACCACCTTGGTGTCCTCCCCTGGCCTCACCCCAATGTGTCCATGTCTCTTGTGCTGGGGAGCCCCGGCACCCACACAGCACTCCAGATGTGTACTCTCAGGTGTCAGATGGAAGGGGTCACTTCCCTCCACCACTGTTGCTGCTCCAGCCCAGGATGCTGTTGGCCTCCATTGCCACAAGGGCGCATTGCTTACTCGATGTCCACCGGCACACCAACGTCCTTCTCTGCAGAGCTGCTTTCTAGCCTGGGAGCCCAACTTATACTGCTGTGCCAGGCCCTATATGAAAAGAGAGATTGTTGCTCGTTTTAAAGAATTAGTGCTGAGATTATCCTTAACAACTACTAATGCACTATATATTAATACACTGCTGTTTTAATGGCAAGCAATGCTATCAACATGTAAGCAGATGTAAACTTCCCTGAGTAACAACAGGATCTGATAAAGGAGGTCAACCTTTCTAAATGCTGATCCGTTGAGCTGAAATTTTTCAGGTATTTGTTCCCCCCTCCTTTCCCATGCTTGTTTGTGCATTTTTTTTCATCTCTTTAGTGTCAGTTTTGTCCCTGACACTATCAAAGGAATGCTTGGAAGTTACTGTCCTCTCTTGGGAAGCTCTGGTTCCCCTATGTTTGAAATGGGAATTTGAAGTGGGGAAAGACCTGTGGTGGCATTGCATTTGAGCCTACTGTTTTTCTTCTATAAAACTCCTAAAATTTTGCCAAATTATGAGTTTCTCAAAGCAGGAGTTTGCAAGTGTCCCAAATAAATTTACTTGTTCCTTGAGCTAAAGGTGCTCAAGAAAGTTGAAATCTAAACATTTTCGTGAACCTCACAGATTTTTTTTTGGGTAAATATTGCAAATGCTTATCCACAGAGTAATTGAGCATACTATGGCACAAAGCTGAATAGCTGTTGAATTGTGTCCTCTGCAATCTGTGGCGTTTGTGGCCTAATATGATGCTGAAGTACACGCAGAAAGTCTTTTTTTTTTTTTTGTCCTTCATCCTGTCCAGTAAATGTATGAAGATAAAGAAAAGCATCTTGAAAATGGGAATGTGAAGTGGGAAGCTGGCTAGGTGGTGAACTTCAGAAACAGAGAAAACAACAGGACTTGGGGAGAATAAAAGGTGTCCAAAAGTCCCTGATTTTGCAGGACTCTGAAGTCAGGCTTGAAGAGGTGGCATCCTTTGGTTAGGAGCCATTACCCTGATGGGTACAGGTCCTCAGTGCAGAGTTAAAAACTCCTAATGTTGACTACCTTGAATGTACGCTTTGGTATGTAGTTTCAAATGACGTAGCTTTTAGAGCTAAGCACGTAGAAACCGGGAAACTCCAGGTTAAAGATTCTCAGTGCAGCTATAATTTGATTCTTCTATTCACATTTAGAATTGGATTCTACTGGATCTGCTGGTCACGGAAGTTGTGGGTGATGCTGTACATATCATTGGAGACAAGCTTCTCACACGTGGCCTTGATCCATGTGCTCATTCACTGATGTCCAGCTTGTTACTTTACCGTCTTACTCGGTCCCCAAGGCTTGCAGCAGTGACCAAAGTCGGAAGGAGCTGACTTCTGAACATACCAGGTATGAAAACCTGTGCTTTAGGTGTCTCAAGTGGGCATCATAACTCATCAAAAGTGATAATGTTGTCCTCAATCACTCTGGGCTGAAACCTGTGTCTGTGGATGGGGCTCTTAGGTCTGCCTCCCCCAAAAGACTGCTATGAGCTTATGGAGCTTTCCAGAGATTTCACAGGAGAAATCCCTGAGGAAATTTGCAGTAGCAACATAGTAAGTGAGATTATCCCTTTATGTTGTGCAAGTTTTATTCAGCACACACAGACTGTAGGCAGAGACTTGATGGAAGTGAAAGGACATAGGACAGTGTTTAACTGCATGATCTTCCTGTGTGTAGGCAACACCATGATCTGAGGCCACACTTGGCAGCTCCTTACTTTTCTTTTAATACTTGACTTTTTAACCTTTCATGTTGTATTAAAAAAAAAGCATTATTTGTATCGAGATGCTACAGAATTAGTATACAGATGCACTACAGCATTAGTATCTTCTTGTTGTGAATTACCATGTATTTCCTTCTCCATTTCTTCCTATTTTTTTTAAATCCATCACCCTTGTATAGTTGTGGGTGAGAAAGGCAAGTTGCAATTTACACTTTTCAGGGTAGAGAGAAGGAAGGGTAGACCTATTCCTACAAAACCATGAGTTTATTACATAGCAGCTCTTAGTGTGTTTTTCTGTTTGTGTTTTTCAAACACAAACAATAACATGTAATTATTGTTGAGCCAGCTGTCGGTCTGCTCTCTGTGGAAGGAAAGCTGATGAAATACAGTTTTTCTCAAGTTCGGGGAACGGCAAGCACAAAGGCAACATAGTCCTGCACACACATGAGTTAGTTTACACCAAATGGCACCTTGCTGCTGTGGACTGTCATTTTAAAGTCATAAAAAACATCGTGTGCTATTAAATGTAGATGCTAAACACAAAAAGAATAAATTGCTGAACACAGCACACGACAGTTCAAGGATGAGGCTAGAAGCAGGATTGTCAGCTTTAGGGAAGCCAGTAAGAGTCATGAATGCAGTCAGATGAGCATTGTGAGTTGAATCTATGTGGCTTATATTTTAAATTCAATTACATTACATGTGCAGATTCCTGAATGAAGGCTATTCTGTCAGGATATTAATGGACTTTATTGATTTACATTGCTTGTAAAAGAAATGGTTTAAGTTGAAATTCACTTGTTTGCTTCATTGTAAATGTGATCCTAATCTGGATGCTTCTCAAGACCAGCATATACACCACAATGAACTACATGAGCCCAGGGGGCTGTACCTGTGATGGAATCTTTCCAATATCCTCCCTAATGTCTTTAACACGTTGAACAGTCCCATGAAACTGATTATAAACTTGCAGTTTTAATTCACATTAGACCTAGGCCTATTCTCCTGAGCATGTAGATATGTGACTTTTCTTAACCTGGGAATAACTGCTGATTCGATGAAGGGATGTGTTGTTCATGGCGGTAACGTTTGTAAATGCTGTGAAGACACTTTAATTCCTGGGAAAACAAAAATGAATCCTGCAGACACAGAGATCTAGAGGTGTCCTGTTTGGTGCCGATTCTTAACATGGTTCTCTTTCTCACTAATTTAAATGAGTCATGGGAGATACAGATTTTGTGAAGGGAAGTTTCCAGCTTAAACATACTTAAATGAGACTTATGCTTTGTTACCATGTAACTGGTCTGTGCAGATTACTCATTCTATGTTTTTTTTTAATGAAATTTGTAGTTAAGTACATGTGAAGCAAACACATAGAAAACAGATCCTGATCTGGAACAATGGTGTTACTTTATTCCTCCAGTAGGATGTTTCCATCATACAAAAAATAAGGTTTGGGTGGATGGTTTTGCTTACAAAATGCTGCTAGCACTGTGTTGTTTTGTCTGACACTTGGTATGCCATGGTCAGTGGTTGCATCTGGAGGCCCTATATGTGTCTTTGCTTTATTTATTTATTTATTTATTTATCCTACCTTGATACTTTCCACACCATTTCTCAAAACTTTTTTTCCTCAAATGCCATTTCTGGCTCTGAGAAGCTTCCCAGTCTTTCCTCAGGAAAAGCAAGCTTAGAATGACAGAGGACCTGTGACATTTGGGGCAGTTGATATAATGAAGGGTCAGGATCTAGACAAGAGTTCTCTAATGAGCAGTGGTGGGAAGCATTCAGCTAGTAATACATCTTCACATATTGATAGCTGAAGGCTTTCTATCATTTGTTCAAGAGTTTGTTTTTTTCTCCAAGTGAAAGACTAGCATTTGTGGGGGAGGACTGTCTAATTGAACTTTAGGATTTGTCTTCAGGATTTTTTGTCTTATCTCTTGAACTTTTTTGAATTCTAAGTGTTGTAGTTCCTAGAAGAGAGTTCTAGCACCAGTGTTTTGTATCTGAGATCCATCAGTGTAAAACATACACTGAACAAATTAAAAATCGATATTTTGGGTTACCTTTGATGTAGTTATGTTATCTGTGATCCTTACTGGTCCCTTCCAGCTCAAAGTATTCTATGATGTAGTTATTAGTTATGAACTTCTAATACTTGTAAACCAGTATCTTATTTACTTTAAACTTCTTTCCTTCTCTTCCTCTACTTACAGGCAGGATGAAGGACCGGCTAAACGAGCTGCATGAATTAGCCAGGTTACACAACCAACAGTTTACTGAAAGTGAGGATGATGAAAATTCACCCCACGATGTTCTGCTTTATGAGACTGATTATGCCTTGGAAATTCTCCATAACGACATACAGAACATCCGGACAGAAAATGACTATCTAAAAGAGGATGTGAAGCGGCTCAGAAAGCAAAACAACCGCTTTCTTACTTCCATGCGCCGTCTTAGTAGCATCAAACGAGATACTAATTGTATTGCCAGAGACATTAAGGCCCGTGGAGAAAGCATCCACAGGAAACTTCACATAATGAGAGATTTCTGTGAAGATGCAGTAACAAAATATGGGGCTATGTCTGTTATTGCCAGGGTAGCAAAGAACCACTATGTTGACCTCATGCACTCATTTCAGGGAGCCATGTTTGAATACAATGCAGCAGAGATGAACCAACGAGAGAACTGCAAGATTCGAATTCAGCGGCAGCTAGAGATAATGGGCAAAGATGTTTCTGGCAACCAGATTGAGGAGATGATTGAGCAAGGCAAGTGGGATGTTTTCTCTGAGAATCTCTTGTCAGAAGTTAAGGGGGCTCGCTCTGCCTTGAATGAGATTGAGACACGTCATAAGGAGCTTGTGAAGTTAGAAGGTCGCATCAAGGAAGTTCATGAGCTCTTTCTGCAGGTGGCCCTACTAGTGGAGGAACAGGCAGACACCTTTGACGTCATTGAGATAAATATGCAAAATGTTGAGGACTATGTAGGAGAAGCTAAAGAGCAAGTGAAAAAAGCTTTGGAATACAGAAGAAAACACCCCCTCAGAACAATCCTCTGCTGCTGCTTATCCTGCTGCAGAAGATGATTGTCCCACTGAAGCTATCACAGACTAACCTGAATATCTTCAAAATCAGGCATTCATTCCAGTGACTTTTTTCTAATGACAACCCCTGTTGAATTTGTTCATCGTCTTTTAACTAAATGTGCTGAAGGCTGTTCTATTTGAGGCCTCCTAGAAATGTTGCTAAAACAATTTTTAATCTGTTTTTAATTGAAATGTACTCTGTTGCTGTAATTAGAGGTACAAGAAGATCTCTGCAGTGATACTTGCTTCAGATAGGCAGCAAAGAGGAATGAATGACGGGCTAATAACTCAGTCTAGGGAAGATGAGAAATTTCAAGAAGTAACTTTATTGTCTAAGTAACTCTGCAGGTGGTGCAGCCTTACCGCCTGGTGCAGCCTTACTGCCTGGGGAGACACAATACACGACAGAATCAGGTTTCAATTTTAACTAGTTTGGACCCTACTCAATGCAAATACTTGAAGAGATTTTCACTCTGGTGAAAGCCTGGTAGCAGGAGCAGGACACAGAACTAGTTTCTATTTCAACTTGACTTCCACCTGAATCTCAACAGAAGTAACTGCACCTTAAATGACAGTATGCACGTTTTGCTGTTTGTGTGCAAGTGATTGCTTTTCTCAATTTTGAGTATCCACAACTTTGTCAAGGTGGCTAGAAGCACTGCAACATCAAGGCACCTCACCGACTTTTAACTTGAGCCACTGTCTGCACTCTCAATTTCAAAACTGCCATGCTTTTATGCTTCTAATACATTCTTCTGCCAATAAACACTTCAGCCAGAAGAGAGGCATGCAGTGGCCTTCTGCAGCAGCACACACAAGAAGACAACTGTTGGGGAATCGAGAAGGCATTTTAGGGTTTCCTGTGCTGTCACATACACACAAACAATTTTAGTGGAAGGATTATCCTGTCAATAGACTTCTATTTTTTTAGTAAGAATTAAAATGGATTTTTTATGTCTGTTTTTAATAATATGAAGGATTAAATTTATCAAAATGCAGTTTTACTGTACAAAACTATGATTTTTCTCCCACTATTAGGAAATCTCCACCTGGGAAGAAAGTAGACATATTTCTTCTGAACACCCGAAGAAGACAGAAAATAACATTTTAATGTCATTTCAGTGCTCTTTTCAAACTTGAAAGTAATCTTTCCTTTTGTGTAAAGGGAGTCTGGCCAAACTAGATTTAGAATATGAGGAGGTAAAATTGCAGCTCCGGAAACCACTGAAAGTCGTCCGTGAAACATGCATTCATGAGGTCTGGTGAGTGATTATAGCTCCTACTTCTGGAGGTTTTCCAAGTATTATATTTCTAGGTGGCTTCCTGACACACTGTGATCTACTGCTGTCCTCTGAATTAATGCAGGACATTTTTTTTTCAGAAGTTACTGATTTTTTTTTAAACTGCTGATCCTATTTGTACCTATTTTAATAAATATATTTAAACATTTCAAATATTTTGTATTTGGGAGTTTTCCTCAGGAGATGTGCATAGCCATCTCTCTGCACCAATCACAATGAAACTTTTTTTCTTCTGATCTTTTGAACACTAATTTTATATGTGCAAAAACACCCAAGAGTTTCGTACTGTTTATATTGATATAACAGCAAAATAAACTCAACTTCCATGCTTTCATATCCTAGTGGGAAATGCTTCTTAGCCAGACGGGCTTTTTTACACAAATAAAAGAGCTCTTCTCAGGCACTGAAAGTCCCTTTTGCTGAAGCACCTGTTTGTGATAACATGGAAGAGTTAGGAATGCCAATCTTCTAAACTAGAAGATATTTTAATAATCAGTGATGTCTTGATTATATCAGTATTATGCTTGCCTGAGGACCTCTCCAACAACCCCATGTTCAAACCTGAAGTGGGAGAAAGGAGGGTGTTGAGCTGGCACCATTACCAGTAGCTTTGGTGCTACTCAAGAAGACAAAGTCATTTACGCCATAGGTATTGCCATTCAATGGAAGTCAATGGAACAGTGCATCTGTAGAGAAACACCCTAAACCTCTGAGGGTCAGCGTGTGGGCATGAATCAATGAGGAATGAAATATATATTTCATTTTGTCTACATAATCTAGCACTCAGCAATGCTTTTGATAGAAATGTGTACATATATTTTTTTGTTGGTTTCTTTTTTACACATATGTATGTCTACACATGGAATAAAAGATTTCATAAGAAAATCTGAAAGTGCAGAGCGTTTTACATTGAATAAGCATCTCTGAGCAGCTTCTTGCATTGTGGAAGTTTAGTTTCAAAGCTGCTAGACTGATCTCTGAGTTGATGAAAGGAGATTAAACAGTGCCTAAAAGAGCCCTCCTCGTATTTGTTGCCACAGTAAATCAAATGTGTTCCATATTGAGATAGACTTACTATAATTTTTCCTATAAAACCCATGAAAAAATTAGTTTCATTTGTTCTAAAATGATTCTCTACTGCAAGAAAAAATAAAATCTATTCTGGCAGTTATGAGAGATCTTGATGATTTCATTAGTAGATATGCAGTGCTTATACTTGAATCTTTAGTCTGATTTGAGGCGCAGGGAAATAAAGCAAAAGCATGAGGAAAATGTAATTGCAGACCTTCTCTCCAGCCTGTTGCTGCAAGGAAGAAACTGAGAATTATTGAAATACCAGCTTGAGACCCTTTAACTATTTTTAAGTCACATTGTGAATAGAGGCACTTAAAAAATTATTTCCAGTAACTGAAGGAATGGTTCTCTTCCTTGCAAACGTGTTCATTGCTTAATACTATGTGGGGTTTTCTATCCCTCAGTTGTGTAAGAAATGAAATGTTGCCAGCCCACGAACTTGCCTAGTCACAGTTAAACAGACTGTTGAAAAAAGCTGATCACACTATAGCTGCAAAGACTCATGCCACACAGGATGAGTGGAAGAAGATGATAAAAGTAGCTTGATGATATGTTAGCATACTAATAACAGAAACTGCAGAATGAACATCTTCATGCTTTCTGAGGAAAGCTGCCTTTTCGCTCTGAAAGTCAGAACAACTCCTATGGAGATATATGTGGCATATTCCATGGTTTGTTTTTTAATTTTCCCTTATGTGGCTGACCCTATAGTTGGGTTTGAGGGGAAAACAGTTAAAATGTAAGGGTTCAGCTTTTAGGGTTGTTGTTAGTTTGGTTTTGTTTCCTACTGAAAGCAGTAGAAACTTCACAAACCTCCCCCACACCTTTCAAATTTCAGCCCTTCCTGAAGTGAAGGAAGGAGAGAAAGGAGAATTGGCAACCAGGCACACCTGGCTCCTTCTAAAAATATAAGAAAATTGCATAAGTATAAAAGAGGAAAAAAAACCCCAACCTATTACAAAATATAATGTTTGATATATAATGGTGAACTTTCTGGATATGTGTATGAGACTCCATTTCATCTTTTGTTTTGTTTTGGCTTGTTTTTTATTTTTGTTTGGTTTGGTTTGAGCTTTTTGTTGTTATTGAGTGTTTTGAATGGATTTAATTTTAGAGAAATGGCAGTGAAACAATTGCTACTTCAAAGCAAGGGATTCAGACTATGGACACATTCGCACACTGTAGCAGGCATCTCTCTGCGTGTGTTTTGGGAGAAACTTCTTGAAGTAAAGCTATAGCTCTATGCTTAAGACATCTTTGTTCTGGAGGCTGAACTGAGTAGCTAAACTAAGCCTTTCTAATCTAACCCACATTAAGGATGTTTTGAATGCACAGCCCAAGTTGTATTTTGTAATTTCTTGAAAACAAAGCAGGTTCTCTAGATTTTTAAACCATGGGAGATATCTGGAATTTATCTGAAAAGGAGAGCTACATGTGGTTGTTTCCATCTCTAGGGAAGTATCACAGATATGATGAAGGCAGGAAATGGTATCCTTTAACAGATACTGCATGTGGTGATTAATCTATTTCCGACACAATGTGATTTGCACATGGAGCCATGGTATTTGTTTCTCTAATATGTAAGAAGGTGATAGCAGGTCTACCTTCTTCCATGTTTTTAGCATACTGCCTTCATAATAGCTGAGCTGAAGCCAGTAACAGCTGGTGGAAGACTGCTCCACTGTTACACCTTAGCTTACAGTGCATACATTGTTAGGGCATAAAGTCTTGACAGGAAAAAGTAACATTTTCGTATGTTTTTGAGAAATACAGAAGAATAGAGAATGAGATAACTGATGATATTTCTCTACTCAGTGCTCTGCTGCAAGGCACAACCCTACTGAACAGGGAGCAGTGCTAGCCATGCTATGATGCCCATTCTAAGCACATGATATAGCAGGGTAAGTTCCAAAAAGCTGTTCTTTCATTCATGGGCTCCAGCGAGTGAATAAAATTAAAGGAAAAGAAGGTGTGAGTTTCACATTTCTTCTTCATCTATGCAAAATGTTAACAATTCACTTTTATTGTATGTGAGAATTATTTTCCTTCACTGGCATGTCTTGTGTACTGGGGGTCTCTGAGCAGTAACAGGCTGAAGAGGTTAGACACCACCTGCACCCGCAAATTCGCAGCACAGACGGCTTACAAAGGGCCAGCTACAACCAGGTTGTCCAACAGCCGAGCAGTGTCATGTGCTCCTGTTCTTACCAGGAAGCAGCTGCCCACTGCGTGCCCCCTCCAGTTTGCCAGAGGCTGCCAGTCTAGCCTCCCCAGCCTGCGTTGTACTGGGTTTCTCATCCCTTGGGGGCAGGTTCAAAGGTGGCAAAGTTTAGCGGGATGCAGAATGACCATTTTCTCCTCTGGAAAATGGTCAGCAAAGATGGCAAGAGTGGGAGCCTGTGTGGTGACAAGGCCAGTGATGGTCCACTTTCCCATTTCCCATTCCCATTCCCCTCTTAACAGGGAGGAAGGGCAAGCTCCCAGTGCAGGCACTAAACCTGGGTATTGCAATAGGTGCTTTCACAGATGATGCATGTAGTGGTGATTGGCAAAAAAAAATCTTTCCTCTGCAATATCTTTCCCTAATGACGCATACTTGATAGCTTCAGACCCTGTTGTTTCTGGTTTTCTTCTATGAGCAAGGGAAGAGCTACTGCAGGAAACAGCTGGGCATAAATAAGCTAAACGCCAATAACTAACACCGCGTTTCCAGAGAGTACCTCTCAGTTGGTATTTCACCCGGCAGCATCGCCCGAGGGAAGGGGAAGCCGGCAGAAAAGTGCTGAGTTGTTTCACTTTTTGCTGCTTTGAGCTTTATAGTTGCGAATTCCCCCCAGCCCTCTCATTCCCCCGACCAACCCTCCCCGGCTCCCCCACCCTTCTCGCTTCAGCGCGCCCATGGGCCCTCACGGAGCGGCCCTGGGCCGGCAACCCCTATCCTCCGTCCGCACCCCAACGCTCCCCGCGCTCTCTTCTCAGTGCCGGGCCGCGCCAGCCCCGCGCACCTCCCCCGCCACCCCCCAACTCTTCCGCTCTGGCTCTCTGTCTCTCACGGGCCCCACGGCAGAGCAACGCTCCCGGCCCGGCCCGGCCCTGCCCGCCCGCCCGCTGCCGGGAGGGGCCGCTCGCGCCCGTAGCCCTAAGCGCTCTGCGCCCTGCCGCGCAGGAAATCAAGGCGGGAGGACGCCGGTGGAGGGTCGCAGGGAACGGCGGGTCGGGCGGGGACGGGAGGAAGGGCCACCTTGGATGTAGGAGCGGCTGGGAGCGGCTTCTGTATCTGCACCAGGATGGCCGAGTGGTTAAGGCGTTGGACTTAAGATCCAATGGACGTATGTCCGCGTGGGTTCGAACCCCACTCCTGGTAGAAGTCAAGTTTTTTTTTTTCCGGAGCCCTCCTGCTTTGCCGAGAAGGACGCGGTGCTCAGGCTGAGGTGCGGCCGCCGGCAGCTGCCGACCGCGGCGGGAGGCAGAGGGGGAGCGGCGCTGAAGCGGGCGGCGGCCGGCACTCGGCCTGCGGAGCAGCCGCGCCGCTGGGCCGGCGAGGGTGGTGTGAGCCGGCTACGGTGGTGTGAGCCGGCTACGGCTGAAGCGGGCCTGCCTGCCCCGCCCGGCCGGCTGTGCTGGGCCTCTGGGCTTCGCGTTGAACACCTCAACCTTAGCTTAAAGTTGGTCGGTTTCACAACTTAATCTTGAGGCGTTTATATAGTATATGTATCTATTATCTATATACGTGTGTATGTATATATATACGTTTTTTCGTGTCTCTGGCAGGCAGCTGGGGCCTGGCCCTCGGTGGCACCGTGGGTGTCACAGCCACGCTGTCACTGGCGGCGAGATAGGACTGAGCGTGGGGGGTGACGGGCCCAGGCCGCTGGGTCCCTACCGCGCAGTGGAGGCTCCCGTGCCGAAGGAGCACGTCGGAGGCCCGTTCCCGGCGGCGGTGGGTGCCGCAGCTCCCCGCGAAGGGACAGGGCGCTGCCCTTCGGTTTCCGTTTTGTGTAGTTCACGGCAGCTCCCCACGCGAGTGCCTCACAGCGGAGCTGCACCGACCGGCTCTCCGGGGGCCTGTGGCACGCTGGGTGGATGATGGCCCCCTGCCTTCGCCCACCCCAGGTGAGCACTTGGTTGCTCTAAAGCGCAGTTTATATATTTTTGTTTAGCTTATTTCCGCACCCCTCCCCCCCCCCCCCCAATTCCAAGCACTTTGAATGTTTTGAAGGCTGTATGGCAACCTGACATAGTGCTTTTGTAACAAGAAGTGAGGGTAAGTACGGCATGCCCCAAGGTATGGGATGAGGGTGTGAAGGATGTCTGCAGGTGTCGAACCTGCTGAGATATCCTCAGCCAACCCCAGCGTGTGGAGGGAATGCAAACCCTGCTTCTGGGGTAAGGGTCCCTTAGTGCTGCCTCTGCCCTATACTTTGCCAGGGGTTCAACTGGAAATTAAGCAGAGAGTGAGCAGGATTTCCAGACTTTGGTCCTAGGTCTGTTTTATTTAGGAGGATAGATGTAGCAGCTGCAGTAGGTGTTGCAATGTGTAATTTTCTATAGCATGCTTTTGTGGTTTGTTTGCATTTTTTGGCAGGGTATTATCCTTGTGTTCTAGTATATTGAAAATGCAGGAAGCACAAATCAAGTGCAAGCTGACACATTTTAAAATATTAGTGTTTGCCAGAGCATCATGGTCAAGTCCTAATACAAGTAAATAACAGTTATTCTTAGCCACCCAAAAGTTCCCCAAAATGAGCTGTATAATCATAAACTTTCAGTTCAAATGTATCATGTGATGATACAGGCTAATTAAAAGATAAACTCTCAAGAAAAAGATAACTTGGGGGCCTTCAATGCAATAGGAAATAGAAGGTGAAATGTTTTAGATGGGATATTTTATTTCATTTGGCATCACAAATGGGGAAATATAAATGCAGAAATACGATAATCAAGAGGGAGTTGTGGAGAGGAGTGTGGTCTGGTGGTGAATTTCTAGGTACATACGTTGTCTTTTTTGACTGTTCACACAGTTAAATTGTAAATGCAAAACTTAGTGAGCTTTCCAGAACTGTTCATTAAAAAGCAGTACTGGCAAGTTCAAATGTTGTATTAAGTAAATATTTGTTCCTCTTCTTCATTAAGGTACAAATTAGTAAAAATGAGTTCATATTTGAAGGTATGTTTTACTTGTAATATTGTAATGGAAAAATGCTGCTCTTCAGAAACCCACATCTTTGAATACAAATTGTGTAGTCCTGCTTATGTGCTTATTTATGAGCATGTGTACATACAGTAAATGCTCATGTAGATTTTGTGGATGCAGTGCTGATCTTGATGAAAAGTTGGCCCCAGCTATGTCAGTTACAGAATGAATTAGTGGCTATTCAGCATTAGAAGAAAGAAAAAAGAAAACTAAAAATGACTGCAGTTTTTACAAGAACATTAATCACTGACCAGACTGAAAAAAAAGGCAGTTTTTATGCTAAAGCAATATACAAAACTGGAGTTCTTGGTTAGAAATGCTTCTCTTACAGACACAGGCCTTTCCTGACGAGATTTGTTTTGCAGAGAACTTCCCTCAGTCCTTTGGTGAAACTGTTCCCTGCTTTCTATAATGGCTTGTTAGAGCACATGCAGCTCTGGAATGGAACAGAAGGCTTTTGAAACTTTCCTGCTCTCAACAAATTTCCATAAAATCTACTGGCAACATGTCTCAACCCCTTTCTACACTTCTCCATAAAGGATAAGCTGCTGGGGTTATTGGTTTCTATTTTAGGTGAAGTGGCAGGGTGGTGTAATGTGTTTCAGCTCCGGAGCTGACTGTGATTTTGATTTAAGATTTTTATTTTATCAAGCATGTATTTTTCCTTGTTTTTAATAGCTTCCTTGTTAAACCCTCATGAATTATTGGTGGTTGGCTTTGCAATTTGACATTCTTACATGGTACTTGTTACACTCTGGCCTTTAGTTCAAACAATATTGCTTTCCAGTGAACTCCGTTCTTGTTTTTCTACAAAGGTCATTATCTGTTGGATCTTTGCCCCAGTTGTTGAAGAAACTGGAAAAAGTATAGTGACTAGTGCTAGAAACTGTAATAAGTAAAAGAGCTTCATAGGCACACAGTTGAATGCTACCCTGATGAATCAGGGGTGTTTCTTCTGCTACTGCAGATTTCCTGTCTCATGAGCAGCCAGTCAGTTCAAATAGATGATTCATAAGCAGTCAGTCATTTTCGTGTTCCTTATTTTGTGGTATCCATCTTGAGAACCTCAGTTTGATTTGAAGAAATACAGAGCTTTTGCAAATGTAGGTGAAATCTATGTACCACTCTTATTTTAAGCAGTCTCTGAAAAAAAAAAAAAATTGTATGTTTCTGAGCCGTCAGTGTCATTTGAGATACTTGTAATTAATATTTTCATACCTCAATTTCCAATTGTGTAAAATAGAGGTTAATAGAAATATAACATTGGCAAAAGGGACTGTTTGAGTGAATTCTTTCTTGTTTGTGAGGAATTCGGGTAGGCACATACATACTCTGGTCATGTTAGACAAGCCCATGAGTAGACTATCAATGAATTTGGATTATAACGTGTAATAAATAAGCTACAGATGCAGGCTATGAACTGTGAAGGCAGTATTGAACATCTTATTAGTCAGCAAGCACCATAGGATGTGTGCTGGACATGGTGGGAGTCTTACGGGAAGACAGCAAGCCTTAGTTTAAAGGGGATCTAATCAGTAAGAAGGCAACCTGTTCTTGAAATGTTATTTAGGTGATGGTTTAGTATAGTTTAATACTTTTAAAAAACTTTCAGCAGCTTTTTTTTTTTTTTTCAGTTACATCTTAGTATGTGATGGAAGCATGTATTATTGGTATGCTTCCATCTATATAATACTATGTAATTTGTTACTTCAGTTAAACCATCTTTACATCAATCCCAGTGACCAGTATCTCATATTGAGGGAAAAAGTGTAAAAAGGCTATGAAGTTCTTGTCTGTTATATAATACTGTATGCAGGATGATCAGTAATCTCTCTGATTCTTACTGCAGACTAGTTTAAAGTCTGTAAAGTAAGACTTGTCTCTGATGTCAGTGGGAACGACTGCATGTAAAGTATTTGGTAATTCTTGAATTCTTCTCATTTTGGGCCTATGTAGCAAAAAAAAAAAGGGGTAGACAATATTTTCTGGATTCTTGTTCTTGTCATGATGCTTGATCAAAGATTACCACTAAATAGTATAGACAGTTGTGTCACTGTTTGTACATGTGTCTTTATACAGATTCATTTTCAACAGCTGCTGGGCTGCTGGTCTGCTGACTGCACCTGATGTTACTTGCAAGTTCTTACAGTCATTTCTCAACAGACTCAATAGCCACAGCAACCAAGTGTCATCAGCAATGTTAGCTAATTCTTCCTCTTTCTCCAGGGCATTCATTACAACACACATTCCCAAACAGATCCTTGCAACATTTTATTGCTTAATTCTTTTTCTTGGTTTTGATACAGAAAAATAAGAGATTTTCTGCTAGATTAGGTCAATCCAAGCAGCAAGCTCTGGGGAGCTGTACTGTGGTAGTAGCTTGACCACCCTGACCATGGCGTTGATAGAACAGAATGAGGCTCTGCATATCACTTAACTGCAGCACAAAGCCCTGCAATTTACTTAAGGTGATGATGGAGGTAGGTTTACTCTTATGATAGACAGATGAGCCCTGCAAGTCTTGCCATGGTCACTTAAAGCATCATCACACCCAGCATTACCCTGAGGGTTGCTCTGTCAGAATTAGGGTGGTCTAACATAGCCATCAGAAGAGACCATGTGCCCATCCTTCAGCTGCCACAGTTAGTGTCTCACATTCAGCTCAAAGCCACCTTCAGCAGCAGAGCAAAGGGCAGTAGCTCTCCACTGGAGTAAAGGGCTGTGGGTGTGAGTTGCTTTTTGCCAGTTCCCTCTCATCAGGAGTAATATGTGCAGGTGGTAACACTTTAAATCAGCACAGCATTACTACTGAAGGATGTTTCTGAAAGCATTTAAAGACTGGTCTGTGCACTAGATCACCTCCAGTTTCGGGATATTTTCGCTTCTGATGGCTTTGCTCTGGTGGCAGTGGCCTCTGGAACAAGGACAGAGCAGACAAGTCATAATTTACAGTACAGCAGCAAGGTCCATCAGAGTACTCTCTAAAATGCCTTAAAATGAAGCAAGCATAATGCAGAACATTGCAGCCAAGATCTCTGGGATCTTAGGGCCTTGGCTTAAAGCATACTAACATGAATTTTGGGGGGATTTTTTTGGTTGCATTGAATTTGTCTAAATTAATTGATTCTTTTTTCCTGCAAGGGAGGAGTTTTTGCCTGGAGACTGTAGAAAATGTGCACACTCTTCTGGAGATGGTCTTCCTGAATGTGCAATTACAAAAATGCCTTCCTTTACCTATTGATTTTAGGAGAAGAATGCACTTTCTGGTTTCCTTCCTTTTCCTTGATTGCTGCTTCTCCTTCACCATCTGCCCAACTGTCACCTTTCTGGATTGGAAGTGCTACAGGATCTTCCCTTCAGACCTCATCTGCTTCATTTTTAAGTATTTGCTGAAGTGGTTCAAGCAGTTCTTGGCAAGAGACTACTCCCCGACCGTGTGACTTGGTGGATTTGTGACACCTGTCTCTTGCTGTTTCATCATGTGTTGCAAACTTTGTCATATGAGGGTGGAATTGCTGGTAGGAAGTACGGGCTTCATTAATGAGTTCTGTTTCACAGCTAATCCATGTTTACTGATTGACGTGCATATGTATTTTAGTTTCACTTGTCCCATCTTATATCTCTGTTGCTATTTTCTGTCACACTCCTACCTTTTGCATTTTATGTACAGATCCAGCTGGACTAGGAGTTAGCTGTTGCTGAAAGAGGCAAACTGTCTTTCCCCTGCCCCAGCTGTATAGCACATTCTTATCACTTCCCTCTTGTATCACTCAGTTGTTTATTATCAAGTAATACGTAACAAACAAACTAATTGATTTAATGTTATTGGATCTAAAATTAATCTCTGAATATTAATTATAAGAATCCATTATAATTATCATTATAAGAACTTTTCTGTGAAGAAATGTGGAATTTGAGAAATTTTCTTCTGTGTTTTGGACTTTCTAGCAGACAGAATACAGATTCACTAACTGGTTTTACACATCCCGGAGTGGCAGAGCCTGGAAGATCCCCCTGGAGATCATCTAGTCCACCTTCCAGCTCAGAGGAGGGTCAGTTTGAGCAGTTGGGTTTTGAGTATCTCCCATGGATGAAGACTTCACAACCCCTCTGGGTAAGCTGTGCCAGTGTTTGACCACCCTCGCAGTAAATATAGTTTCTTCTAATGTCTTAAAAAGAAGTGGTTTATTTCGCTTAAGGCATTTTTGTATGTTTAAGCTTAGCTCAGACTTACAGATCTGTCTGCCTGTAGATGGTAAATGATTGTATGTTTTCTCTGTGCTTAGGTTTTTTGTTCCTAAACATCCCAAGATAAAATGAAGGAACTACAAATGCCACAACACATATGAGGACACCTTCTGGATAAATGGGTTTGCTACTGTGTGCATTTCACTGAGAGCTCTATTGAGAGAACAAAACCCCTGCAAAGATCTAAGCAAGTGTTTCATTTTAGATAGTGAAAGCAATTCCCCAAAGTTTTGTTGTCCAGATAAAGACCAAGGAAGTGCAATATTTCAGTCATAAATATGTAAGGTTAGTTTCCTGTAAGAAATTAGTACCTGTGTCTTAGCCAGAATCCTGTTACGGCATTACTTATTGGAAGACCATTCCGTATCATAGAATCATAGAATGGTTGGTTTTGGAAAGGACCTTAAGATCATCTAGTTCCGACCCCCCACCCTGTGCAGAGACACCACAATTAAATTTCGTGATCTACATATGAGACTGCTGTAATTTGATCTGAATTTTCCTTTAAAATGGTCTGGGAGCTATAGTGTTAAGAAATGACATCTGTCTTGTTGAGTTGAGGGAAGGTAATGCAACCAATAGCACTCAACTTTATCCCGTGCTGTTGTCTGGCAACCTGATAACTACAGATAAAAATTCTTATTCCTGTATTTACATAGGCATTTGTAGTCTCCTTCCTGAACAATCTTTTCTTACTGGCTGTGGCTAATTATTCCTTGTCCTAGATCCAGAGGCCACCTCTGAATGAGGAACTGGAAAGAGTCAACACAGTTCAGAAATCCCATTTATGTAATGCTTTTCAAATCCTTGTTATGATATTCAGAAAATAAATAATTGATTTATTTAATTACTATGGCTTCTTCTCTCTTTTATCATAATGCTTTGGATTATTTTTTATCGTTTGCAGGATGATTTGCTGTGAGAATAGCTGATTTCTTGGCTAAATGTAATTTTAATTTGTATGTAGCTAGCTTAGTGGTTTTCACAATCTGTATTTTGATAGCACTGTGACAGTGCAGGTTATATTTATGCCAGTTAACAAATCATATAGTTTTCTGTGACTGAAAACAGACTGAGACATGCCCAACCTGTTGTACTGCATTCATTCAGGTGACCTGCCCCAAAAGTTATTTGACACATCAGTAAAGAAGGAATACTGAAAGCAACTGGATCCAGTTTTTGTGAAGTCTCTGCCTGCCTAGCCCCTCTGAACGAAATATTTTTCTACAAAAAAGAACTATCAGGTAGGATACGAATTGTGTGGTATGAACGCATGAATCAAATGTCTGTACAAGGAGAAAGCAGTTGATGGCTCCCAATAGTGGATACACAGGAACATCATGGATGAGATAAGGTTTCTGCTCAGTAGGAAATTGTTAGGGTGAGAGCTCAGCCATCAACACAAGAAAAAGGACTTATATGACAGAAAAGGTAGGGTTACTGTTATCTAGCTGAAATACTAACAAACTTGAGAGTGTTATGAAATAGAAGCTAAGAATGAGATGGGATTGGGCATCTCAGAATTGTCATAACAATCCTCTAAAAGCAGAAGATGTTGTGGTTGGAGATTCTTTGCCCTGTTTCTCTTGCTTTTTGTGGTAAGCTGTCTCAAAGAAGGGTTTCATTAGAGTTTCAGCATGCTGCTGGCTTAGGTTGGGCCCTGCAGAGATTGTATTAGGAGATCTTAAGGTGCCTCAACCCCAGACAGGGGCCTTTATGGGTCCTTTAGAACCAGAGTTAGAGACAATGCCTCATATTCATCTGGAAGTCCTTAACAGACTTGTTTTCATAGGCAGGAATGTGCTTAGATCGTAATGTTAACTATGTCAGAACGTGTTTTTTTTTTTTTTAACAAAAATTACTATACCAGGGTAATCTTAACCGTCAAACTGGGATGTGTATACTTTGCATTGTGCATTGTTTCCTTTTATGTACTGTTTGTCATTAACAGTCTTGGCATGACTGCTTCACAGGTAGTAAATATATTTTGGCATTATTAAAGCAGTTCCACTTCCTTTGCAGGCAAAGCCTCAGAGATGGTATCTCTGGAGAGGGACATTGGAACTGACGAAAAGTTGCCAACTGCTATTTAACTGTTAACCAGCATGCCAGGTACCATCTTTCTGAGTCACCATCCCTGACCACCTCTGCATTAAGATTTACACTGGCCTGCTCTGGTCCATAGGTCATTATTTTGGCAACTGTAAAAATTGAGTTATAAAAAATTACTGTGTTATTTTTCTCTTTTTTTAGTTCATTATATGTGTTCAGCTAAAAATAAAAGGAATTGGAGAAAGCAGTTTAAAGACTTGTGTTTCTTCTATGTGAAAATCCATGTAACAATATAAATAATTCTTGACAAGGTAGCTAGCTGATTTCCCTTAGCAAGATATCCATATGGGATGCACTTCTGAGGATATACCAGATTAGCTCTGCTGCTGCAGCCAGTGTTCATGGATATAAATTCATGGATGCTGAACTTGTTGCTGCCACTATGTAAGCAGATTGTTTATCACAGAAGTTTTGGACAGGCACAGAAGCTTCTATAATTAAAGTTGTAGCATCTGCACAATAGTTATACACTTTAAATTGCTGTTCCTCAGCATCACCTCCCTCTATTGATCTTCAAACCCACAGAAAGTGAAATTGAAAATACAAGCAGTTCAGGAAAAAAAATCCATTAAGGCTTGTAAAGAGTACAGGATACTGCATGGTTTCCAGTGTAAGGGCAGGGCTACAATATTTTTTCCTATCTCACAGGAACATTCTAAGAGGCATCTTAATACTGTGTGATAGAAAGGGACATAAATCTTTATGGAAAAAATGAAATTATGCATTAGCAGTCTGCAGCAGAAAAGACATAGGTTGTAAAGTCTTTGAAAAGCCCTTCTCCAATGCCCCCAAGTCATTTAAATCATATTATAGTCTTCGGGGAATATTAGAGCTGCAAAAACTAGCCTGGCCATAACTTTGTGTAAGGGATAAATTAAACACAGCTATTGACTGTTCAGAAAATAAAGGCCCAGTTTGCATTAACAAGGTTGAACTGGATGATTTTATTTCTTTTGGAAAAGCACTTGGATCCTTTTTTTTTCTGTGTTTTACAGAAAAAAAAAAAAGGATGTAATGTTTCAGGTGGCTGCTGCATTCTATGTTTGAGCCTTTACTTGAAGAAAAAAAGATTCAGGGATAACATTCTAGTACAAAGATTGGGGGTATACCTTGTTTATTTCCAGGACCAATATTATTAAATGGATTTGAAAGAGAACCATCCAAAGATTATTTTTACCAGTAACAGAAAAGCTTTCTTGAATGGAGTGCTTCGCACTGAGCATAATCATACTGCCTAAACAGACCCTGTTTAATGAGATGACTGACCTTAAATGTAGACATAACAGAAACTTGGATTCTTCAGTTACTTTAATTTGATGACTTATTTATGATAAACTCCTTTAGGAGTGAAATACTTGAAAATGAGCCCAGGGAAGAGATTGCTCTGTACCCAGCCTCCCAGTCAGGGCTGGCTATGACAGCACTGCATTGGTGGGGAGGAAAATTTTTTGGATGTGCAAGGACAGTGAAATGGCACTGCTGCCATCCTGGTGCAGAGCAACTGGGACCCCTTCCTGGGGCCACAGGTCATGTGGTGGCCTCACCATACTATGGGGGTCCTTGGAGTACCTGTGCAAGCTGCTGATCCTGGACTGGGTCCTTCAGTGGCATCGCAGTACTTTCCAGTTCCTCTTCTTGTACCATGCTGTGTACACCTAGGAAGTGCAGCAGGGAGTTTGGTTCCTTGGGCACAGTGAGGGGAAAAAAAAAGGCAGTCGCTGGGGGAAAACAGGTTGGTTGTGGCAAGGTGGTGTCATGCTACACAGGGGATAGGAGCACTGGAATGCCAACTGCTCTTTGGAGGCCTCATGGAAGTCTCCTCCTGCAGCAGAGCCCAGCCTGCCCAGATACAGTGGGTGGGTGGGCAAGTGGTGCTCAGCCACTGCCCTCCTGCACAAATGGAAATCAATGCAGGCTAGTCAAGGGTAGGAAAGGTCAGGCTCTGAATGGGCAAACAAATCCATGTCCTGCACCGCTTCTGAGAGTGGATCCTTCTCTTCCTCATTGCTTGCTTTGCCTTTCAAAGGAGTGATGTATACTTTCTGAGTCCTTGTACTAAGCACCAGATACTGTCTGTAGGTGTGGAGAAAACTTTTGAAAAGATTGAAGTGGCTTACAGTCAGCAATGCTACCTTCTCCACAGGTACAACCAATTCCTGTATAAGAAGGGTGGCAGAGCTGAGCGAAGAGTGGAGCTGAGCTGCGTGATAACTTACGAGTTACATTTCTTTATGGTTCAGTTACTGAATCGTGCCCCTGTTTCTCTGTTAGGAGGCAGAAGTCTATTTCTGTGAGTGATCTGCATCAGGAAGCAAGTGCTATACTGTAGATACCATGCCTAGGGAGAGCTTTCCAGACAGACTTTCCAAGGAGAAGTATGATTAAAATGCTAATGTGTTTTATATCAGTTCCTCTCCTTTTGTATGATGCTGCTCATACCAAAGTCAGTGGGAGAATTCACCCATTTAAATGGTGCTTTCACTGACATGTCTGGCATTCATTTTTGTTTTGCTGACCTGCCTTCTGTTTTTTGCCCAGAGGCCACCCAGCTGCTGGTTGGTGGACATCCTTGGGTGCAGTAGGCAGACAGCACCCGAGTCTAAAGGAGCTTCTGACAGGCCAGCAGTTTCATGGTCAGTCTGGATGGCCCCATAAAGCTGGGATCATGAGCAGAAAGCACTGTCAAGCTTCCAGTCTTACTGAACAGTTTATGTTTTGTAGTTACTTCACGGGAGAAAGGAGCAGAGTGTGGGAAGCTGGTACCGGCAACATCACCTATGATTTAGGGTTGTCAGGGGGGTCTGAAGGCTGTATGAAGACTATTGGCACAAAGTCTGGGAATTGTTCAGAGCTTCAGGCATGTCCCGCCTTATGCAGAGCTGGAGAGCAGCCCGAGGGCTGTGACAAACCAGTCAGACTCAACTAAAAGTAGAACTATTTATGGGTGGTTGTCTGTTTTCTCTTGTGACTCGTGGATGTTGTCTTTTGCTCACCAAGGCTCTGAGCCTTATCAGTTTGCACTTAAATATAGCTTTCCCAGGTTTTAAAATCTGCTATTTTCCCAGAGGAATGTCTGTTCCTGGCATGTAGCCCTCCTTCTCTTTTATTGTACTGAAAATCATTGCACTCACTGAGTGTTGGTAAGGTGTGGT